CATGAATCGCCATTCGTTCAACATTTCTAGCGGTTTGAATTCAGAATTATTCGCCCCCCTTTGACTTTTTTTTTTCCTTTTTTAAATATTTCCTAAAAGATGTTTAACAGAGCAGGGGAATGTCTGATAATATTTTCTTTTATGGAGAAAGTCTTATTTATTTTTTTTCGGCTAGAATAAAAGTAGTTTTGAATTTTTTTAAAACCCATTTTAGGGTCAAAATTATTAGCTCCTTTAAGCTATATATTTTTTTCCGATAGTCTACAGAACAAACCATCGTTATAGAATACCTTGCCTAATTACCCTAACCTGCCTAGTTAACTTAATTAACCTAGTTATGTCTTTTAATGTCACTTTAAGCTGTATAGAAGTGTCTAGAAAAAACATCTAGTCAAATATTATTTACTGCTATCATGGCAAAGATAAAATAAATCAGTTATAAGAGATGAGTTATAAAAACTGTTATGTTTAGAAATGTGTTGAAAACATCTTCTCTCCGTTAAACAGAAATTAGGGGCAAAATATAATGGTTAATAATTCAGGGGGCTAATAATTCTGACTTCAACTGTATTTTAATCAATTTTCAACTGGCTCACTGTGAATCGTTACATCCCTACTTAACTTTTTTTTTTTTTGTAATTATGCACATTTACATTAATTACTTTAAAAGCAACAAGTTTACTCACAGTGTATAGAGATATTAAGAATGTAAAAGATTTTAGCATTGTTGTAAATATAGTGATTCCGACACATTGCAGAAATCAAAACCAACAACTAGCTTGGTGTATCTAGAATTATTTACATACTTGCAAAGAGTATGTTTCAGGGCAATCGGTTTAAAACGCAGGACTCAATCACCTCCTGACTGATTTTTTTTTTTTTTTTTGAGGGGTGAAATGCGATTTAGGATTTAGCTCCTTTGTCTTATCTGTCTCTGTTGTCCATGCAGCATATTGCAGGTCATGCTGGATTGTCAGACATAGCAAATTTTTTTTATTTTCTTCTTAAGATCTGTTTCTTCAAGGCACAGCAAGAGATCACGGAACAAATCACAACTCATTTACATTCAGTCTGGCAAGAAAAACCCTCCACCCACCCCTTCCCTTCCAGTCTTAGCAGCAAAGAGCACGAGAATACAAAATTTACTAAGAGAATTAAAGTGTTACAGAAGCCGGAGCAGCACTTTATGGATCTAACAAAAAAGAGCTGCAGGCTGGATTGAGCATGTCAAAGAGTTTGAATATCATGAAGAATATGTGTAGAAGCATCAACCAATGTGTCGTTTTCAGTTCGTTGTAACACTTTCTGCAAATCCTTTTATACAAGCATATTTTGTGGATTTGATTTTGCTTAGAGGAATGGTCTTATGCAACAAAATTTAAGCGAAGTCGACAATGTTAACTTCAACTCACCCTTCAGTTTGTAAAGGCAGACACAATAATGAACTTACAATACGTGTTTGGAGTAAGGCATTTGACCACACATATACTAGAATATGTTCTTTCTAATGTGTAGTCACTAGTACACTGTAAAAAGAATGTGTAATTGAATGGTTTATTTTCGGCAGCTGGGGTGCCGAAAAAAAAAAAAAAAACAGAATAACAGCCATTAAATTACAGAAATTTACTTACATTAAAATTGCTGGTAAATGTATGTAAATCAACCTCTGTTACTTTACCGAACGTTTCTGTAATTTAATTTAACGGCTGCTATTTTACGTTTTTTTTTTTTTTTTCTGGCACCCCAGCTGCCGAAAATAAACCATAAAATTACAGATTTTTTTTTTACAGTGTAAATCTATTACGCTAATCCTTTAAAAATTAACCACGAATTAGTAGAAAAAGTTTCAAATTAAAACCATAAAATGAATCATGGCTTTGCTATAAACTACACTGCTAATGTGTAGTTAACACACTTAACTGTTTTTTTGTAAAATAACACGGTATCTATCTGTATTTTACTGTAGGACAATTATGCAGTATGTTACTGTACAGTATGTTAAAGTTGCACTGTGTGAAAATTACTGTGTTTTACAGTAAAGACAAACAGTATTGTAAATACATGTCCTAAACAGTTCTGTAAATACAGTATTTTTGCTTTAATTGATTTACAGTAAATTCTGATTTATACTTATGCGTCAAGCGCACATGTATTGTCTAGCGCAGCCTTTGCGTGGTTGCATAGCCCTCACCATGGCTCTCGCACCTCTTAAAAACTGTAACTACACATTGCAACAATGCGTATTGTAAACACTGTGATTGGTCAGCTTGGTAGCTGTAATGAGTGTGGGCGGAGCTGAAAGCTGCGAGCCTGATAGAGCAAGTGTTTACAAGTGTCAAGTCCAGTTTTAAGAGACCATTTCATAAAGATTAATTAATCATTCTTACTATTCAATAAACGCAAACTGTCGTAGTTTATTAAAGACTCAAACTTCTCATTGCACGACAGCTGCACCTTCAGCAAACCCCCTAATTCACTGCATATCAAACGACTTAAACGATATAACTAGAGAAATCTCCACTGTGCTGAGCGAAATCGCTTACTGAACAGCGCGTCGTCGATGACGTAAGCATGCCCAGGCCCGAATGTAATGTGAGTGCGGGCTGTTGGGGGACAATCGTGATTTGGCCTGGTTCAAGGCAGCTGTACATAATATGAGTTCGCCCTAAGGTAGCGTTCAGTAAAAAATTAAACACCTGCGAACAAACTTGACACTAAGGGACATAGGATCCTGCTGCCAACTAGCGTTTTGCAAGTTATTCCAGAGCAACACAAACAGCACGCATAAGTATAAATGTACGACTACACACAAGGCAGTGGTTGTAGGTAATGTCTATCACTCAACGCAGAAATATAAATCAGCCTTAAGTTACTGGCGAACTGCCGCTAGTAAGTTACTGTAGATTCTACAGGAAATTGTTAGTGTAGATGTAGTTTAACCATATCATTTTTGGATGCACAAATGTTATTCTGTATGCTAAAGAAAATGGTTAATAAACTTTAATTTCTTTATATTTCATACTGGAGTATTTTGATAAAATAGATGACCTTGTTTGAGCAGATTTGAAATAAAGTTTTAATGAATCGAATAAGAATAAATTCTTTGCATTCAAATTAGTTTTCGTCTGACACGGTTTTCTTCGAATTTGTGTCAATGTTTTTTTAACGTGACACACAAATCAGAGTGTAACGGATAATTCGCAACAAAACTATTCATGTTAACCTGTCAAAATGATTCACGAAATCGTGACAATCTCTCTTGTAAATGAACTGTTGCAACAGACTTTGCCCAGAGTCATTTACAACTGACACCCTCACTGTACAGCAAATCATTGTTGAAGGTCCTATGAAATTAAAAATTAAACTGTTTCGAGGTTAGTATTCCTAGGTTTAAGTATATCTATAAACTGGTGTGCATTAAAACAATAACAAAATTCACATTTTAGAAAATTTAAAACTATTATGTAAAGCTTGTAGTTTGTCATTTCAGCTTAAATTGATCAACATTTATTTTTCACATTACCTCATACTTTATTTTCAACTCAAGTCAAATCTTGACCAATCAAATTCTCTCTAGGATCTGATATGCCCTGCTTCTCATTTGCTTTTCATTTGATGCGCTTGATCTTAACCACTCTCACTGGCAGAGCTGTGATGAAAAACAAAACGCAATTGGCTGTTTTTTTTAAAAGGGGAGGAGCTACACTATGTCCCACCCTTTCTTAATTTTTCCGTTCAGATTACGTCAAACATCGAATAAAAAAAAAAATGCACATTTCAAAGCACTTCACGAGACCTTTAAGTTTTCTTACAAAAATACGAAGTGTGCAAAAAATATTACATACATATTAAACATTTTATTTAACTTAGTTTATGAACTCCTTGACTTAAGTGAACAACCATCTTTATCTAGCGATTCTCCAATTTGTCAGCCAAAAAACACAAAAGACACTGGTTCTTAAAGGAAACCCATGGCTCCCTCAATGATTTATTTTGTCTAATAAAAGTGATTTTAACCTTCCACAGAGCTTTCAACCCACTCCAAAGACGTTCACTGTAAGTGCACTACTGTAGAAGGACAGAGGGAGTCAATGTATGTATTTATCTTTTGCTTATATATTCGTTCTTTTCGTATTTTTTTAGTTCATTAAGTTGAGTCTGCCAAACTAGACTGAATATTAGTCTTCACATTTGAATGTCCTCACATCTCCTTCACTGACCAAAGGATTGATTGAACTTCACAAAGGGAAAAACAAACAAATTATATAATAAGTGACTTTGAAATCTACTGTAGTGCCAATTGACCGCAGTATGCACAAACAAAACTGCTATTATCACAGCAAAACAAACAATAACAGGTAGCGATTAGCCCACAAAAAAAAGGTTGAGGGCTTCAATAACAGTAACAATAATAATCTGCTAATAGCAAACACATGAAAAGAACAGAACACCCCCTCAACTTGTTGCACAACTACGTAGCGATGCTAAAATACAAGTGGCGATTGAAAATAACGATAATATGCAAGAACACCAGCAAAAGGAGTAATAATAATGCGATGTCTGAAGCATTGCCTCGACTCTTTGGAGCTGTACAGTGTGGCTTTATGTAAAAAAGTACATCAGAAAATATCTGGCAAAATACAATGTCCCCAGCTTCAATCAAACCAACCACCAGACACCCATTAACGTCATTAGAGAGAGAAAATAAATGCAGAAAGTAGAAAGCATAGTCCGAGCAAGAGAAGTGCACCGGTCTTGTTCTTTGACAGATCTTTGCTTTTATCCACTTCAGATATTTCTCTGAAAGCTCATCAAAGTCCTCAGAACCCAAAACCGCCCTTTCAATGAGCTTTTGAAGCAGTTTGTTTGAATGGCCGCAAATTTTGTGGTCTTTTATTCGCAAATGGACAGATTGTGCAGCATAGTGCCTCTTTATTAGCCACTAGCTAAGCTGAGGCATGGGGCTTGAGCATTAGAGAACGGGAACTGAATAGATTTGGTCACTGAAAAGCCACCGGACTGTCCATGAGAAGGTCATCCTTGAGTTCAGTCTCCAAAGTTTCTTCCAGGTCCTTCTCTTCATCTTCTTCGGCATCCCGCACTGAACTCTGGCTGTTCACCATGGTGCCGTAGCTCTGGTGGGCTGGAGAGGGCATGGGAGTCAAGCCCAGCTCTGGCTCCAGCAGGACAGAGGCTATAAAAAGCTGAGAGATTGAAAAAAAGGTGAGTAGGTGGACAGTAAGTGTCATTATCTTAACAGCTTCTTATTTTATTGTTTATGCAACATGCTACATGTGAAGTGCCATTGACATGAGTGGCAGATGAGAGGGACAAATTAATTTCATAAGTGGGACTTGAAATGAGAGTGTGATGAATGAAATGAGCTGTGACGGGACGAGTAGGTACATTAGCTGTGGCGGTGGTGGAAATGGTGCTTCTCTCCGCATCACTGAATCCCCCTTCTGTTGTCTGATCGGACATCTGAAACAAAGGAAAAGCAATCAGGTTTTACCACCTGGGGATAAATCATCTTTGATGGCTTATTCTCAAAGCCAGTGTAAAATAATTCAATTAGTGTTTTCAAAGCACAATCAACTACAGAAATACATGCAGTTAAATACATATTTTAAGGATTTTTTGTTTTTGTACTCCATAGAAATGTAACCGATAGTGATATTTGCTCATTAAAATTTCATTACCAGGTAAAAGAGATACATTTTTATTTTCTTATTAGTCTTTCAGGAAAGAACCTATTGTTTTGTCATTAAATTATTTACTTACCCGTTTGGTAATATACATATACATATATATATATATATATATATATATATATATATATATATATATATATATATATATGCTCATTTAAGACAGAATTTGTTGTGTTTAAAAGAAAACCCACCTAGATCGACATGTTTAGATATTATCATTATTATTATTACTATTATTATGTATATATGTCTGTTCAAGCACACATCTAAAACGTCTTAGTTAGGAACATAACCCTTGTTCCCCTTCGGGGGGAACTCCAGCACTATAAGTGGATTTGATGTTCTAAATCCACGTATGGGAGGTTTGGTTCAGAAGCTACTCGTCTGAAAGAGTATTGAACGGGCCATTAAGAATGAATTGGCAGCGCAAGCCTGTGCAGGTGTGCGGCATATGCAATCAACTGAGTATATAAGCACACCTGGCGCCAGCAGACGCTATCCTTTTCACTTCAGAGACTTTTCTGATCAAGCTTCATGAGGGTTCCTCCTGCTGTCTACAGCCACTTCGAGCGAACGAGTGTCTCCCGGTCCAGAGCGAGTCCACGCAGCGGCAGATGGTCGAGCTGGGTTCTCCCTTGCCTGGCGTCCCTTTGGGTCCGGTCCTCCAGAGCGGTGCGTATTGTTGCAAAGCATCCTAAAAGAGCAACACAGTCGTGCAGCACGTCCTTTTCAGGGCAGCGCTCCGACTGTGCGTTTCTGGTTGCGGGGGTTTCCTGGCTCCGGATGATGGGCACGATCACTGCATTACATGTTTGGGGGTCCAGCATGTTAATGTGGTGCTCGGGGGCGGTTCATGTCGTCACTACGATGCCATGACCGTCGCGCAGTTGAGATCGCGGCTAACTTTCGTGAGAGAGCGAGCCACCCCAGTCGCCTCCTGTTCTGCAGCGGGCGCTCGGGCAGATCTGAGGGTTCCAGCGGGAGATAATCGCCGCCTAAGGGCTCGCGGACCTCTCGCTCCTCCAAGCGCTCCATCCAAGCTTCGGGCGCTGGGAGTGATCCGTCTAATTAGCTCTCACGCTCGCTGACACCGGAGATCAGATGTCCTCCGCGGAATCGGAGGGTGGGCTTTCATTGTCCGACGATGATCCGGACCCGCTCGCCCCCTTCGGGCAGGTGAGCGCTGTCAAAACGGATACTGAAACGGACGTGTTAGCCATGCTTTCCCGGGCTGCTTCGGCCGTGGGTTGGAGATGGTTTATCCCCCAGCTCCGCGGCCGGACCGACTAGAGGGGCGTTTCCTTCTTCCTGAATGCACAGTAGGCTCACGCGGTCTTAAAGAGCACCTTTTTTCTGCTCGTGCTGCGTGTCCCTCCACCCTCACCACTCTTGGTGGTGGAGCGGCCAGGGGGTATGTGGCGATTCCTCAGGTTGAGTGTGCTATGGCGGTTAATCCGCGCAGCGCCTCTTCTTGGCGGGGTCTGCCTCATCTCCCATCCAAAGCCTGTGAGTTTCGGCTCCCTCGGAGCTAGAGCTTACAAAGCTACGGACCAGGCTGCATCCGCCTTGCATGCGATAGCCACCGACCAGCGCTACCAAGCGCAGGCGCTGGCCGAGCTGCATGAGGGTGGGTCCAACCCAGGCTTATGAGCTTCGCACCGCAGCCGATTAAGCTCTTTGGACTACTAAGTCCGCTGCGTGTGCTTTGGGGAGGACGATGTCCACACTAGTGGTCCAGGAGCCCCACCTCTAACAAAACTTGGTTGATATGCGCGAAGTTGACAAAGTCCGCTTTCTTGACTCGCCCATATCTCAAGCTGGTCGGCGACACAGTCTGCGAATTCACCCAGGAATTCGAGGCAGTGAGTGAGCAGTCCGATGGGTGATGTCTAATTTTTAGATTTACGACAGTACGTTGGAAAAGCATGCCAGTCCCTGAAGGGGGAGGACGCTGCGGAGGCCACCTGCTACCCAAAAAAGTGGAGACTTGATGACGATAATAACATATGGACTAGCCCTATCCAGGGAGAGTGCTACATATGATAAGCTGGTAAGCAGGTAGGGAAGATATGAGTCCACCTGAGAAGGGGAAACGCTCCATGGATGAAATAAGCATATGGAATTGCCATTGGGGATTGCGGATAGCTGGCACTTAACGCAAGCATGTGGGTGGACCAAATGGGCATACCAGACATACTGGGCCAGGCACCCAGCTTCTCCACTGCTCTCTTCATGGTGAGCAGAGATGGCAGCCACGTAAACCTTAAGTGTGGAGAGTGACATCCTACTCTCCAGCTTATCCTGAAGGAAGGATAACACAACGCAAGAGGTCCTTTCTCAGTGAATTATGCCAGGGCCGAGCCATCGCAGGGAGTGTGAGTTCAGAAACCCAGTTCCAGCAGGGCCAGAGGTGCAACTAACAAGACCTGCTCCTTGTCCTCCCTGACTTTGCACAGTGTCTTTGCGAAACGGCTCAATGAGGGAAATGCATATTTGCACATGCCATGCCCAGGGACACATGCCTGCAGAGGGAGGCCTCAGACATTAATACAATTAGCAATGGGCAAACAGGATGACCTTGGCTTCCTCGAAGTGCTCCCATATCAGCTGGATTGTACCGAGGTGGAGTTTCTGTTCCCCTTGAGATGCTAGCTGCGTTGAGTGCACATCAGCTGCACGTTTGACCTGAATGTGAATGGCATGCAGTGATTTCAACCACGTGTGACTCCAGAGGAACGGCAAGCAATTTGTCTGTTTGTCCTGACCAGCACAAGTTTCTGCTCTAAAACCATTTACTGCAGAGAGCGAGAAACACTGCCAACAGCTCTAGGAAGTTGATGTGCCAACCCGTGTTGGAGGCATCCGTTGATATGACAACATGTCTGGATACTTGTTTTAAAATCCTACTGGCCCATAGGAAAGCAAGATCCATCCAGGGACTAAAGGTGCAACACCACAGTGGAGTGATGTCAGGCCAGATGGTCATTGTATGTATCTCGCATGTATGTCCGTGCAGCAAGCGTTTTTGACACCGAGCTTAGATTCCTCCTGATTGACCAGGGTTACCAAGTAATCAGGAGGAAATGGCTCCACTCGAAGATTATAAAATCTTGCAAATTTGTTAGGTGTTGCCCAGCCCCCAGCTCTACAGAATCTGCTAAGAGGTGCCGCGAACACACGCCGAAAAGAAGGCACTGCAACTTTAAGTGTGCTCTCGCTCCTGGGAGACATGGCTCACCCTGGCACAGCGAAGCAAGGATGATGGCATATCAAGTGGACCAACCTGTGGTTTGATTTGACATTTCCCTTCTGTCAATTATGACTGTTTAGAGACGTATGCCCTATGTGTGGTCACATTAAGTGCAGTGCCCGGACACACAAATGAAGGGTTGGGCCTGTCTCCATTGCAGGTTGCAGGTTACTATCTGTTAAATAAAGGGTAATAGAGGGACTTCTGGTTTCTATATGAGCAAGTAGCACGCACCTCAATAAAGTGCTAACCAGGCTGACAGAGTCCGAACGAGCAGCATCATTGGAACAATCACTGATGTAGTCACAGAGGGGCAGCTTTGGGATGGGGAGTGCTCAACCCTAGAAGCAGAATTACCAGAGGAAGAGATGAAAATAAGATATTGACTCTTAACTTTCTCCCAGGATACCGCAAAGTGGCTGGAGGTGCGAGAGAAGGAGCTCGTCCTCTGGCACCCTCAAAAGCCTGTGGCAAAGTGCACTAAAGCTAAGAGCTGGAAGGCAGCACGTCACAGGAAGATGGAGGAAAAGCTGCTCTTTTTTGGATTGCAACATTTCTTTACAGGGGGGAGGGGGGGTAGCCCTCTACCAAGAAAAAAAACTATTCTCCTCCTCTCCGAGCAGCACACTTCAGGTTCGCATCATGGTCTGGTAACTGGACTTATAGGTGTCCTGTGACGGGAGCGTCAACTTCCTGCAGGGGGCCTCGGTGTGTCACTAGCCAGTGGAACGGGCTGTGATAGCAGAGCATCTTGGAGCCACAGAAACAGTGTTCTCGGCAAGGAACAGCCAGCGTGGATGGCTCTGGTGGGGAAACAGTTTTCCGAGCCCACCAAGAGATGATCTGTTCCATCATGCATGGTTGATCTCTCACCACCGAGTCCCCGACACTGTCACTGAGTAGGCCAGCCTGAGATATGGGCATGCCAAGAAAACGCACTTTGTTGGATTGGTGCAGTGTAAGCCAAGGGTGGCATTTCCGGACCACTGTGTGGCTATCGTCCTCCCCAGGGCATGGGCAGCCGACTTGACCGCAGTAAGCGTGAGGAAAAAACTGCCTTTGTGCAGCACAGACAGGTGTTGCTGTGGTACAGGGCAGAAGCGGAATGGTTCGCAGTGGTGTGGACTCTAGCTGACACAAATAACCCACCCGCCTTGGACGGGGATCTCATCAAGGGAGTTGCAATTAAGGGAGGTGAAGGCAGAAGTGTACGAGGACTGGGTGAAAAAAGGCCCTCTATATCTGCGTGTGTTCGCTGTGCATCCCTGGGAAGAAGGGGACAACAGCTGGGAAAATGAATCCTATATAAGCCAGCACGTCGCATCCCTCTTGTCGGTCCAGCGGTAAGACTTGGGGGACAAGCCTTCTCCAACCACACTGTTGAAGCATCCCGGGAAGTACAACCATCATGTCCTACTCGATAACCATGTCCATGATTGCACCCAATTGGATGTAGTGAGCTCGGTCTGTCATCTGAACATGACAGTTTGCCCTCCGATGTCGCAATGGGCAGTGTCATAAATCGGAGGCGCGGGCATCTTGGGGGATGAACCGACACAACCACTCTGGCCTGTTTTCTTACTCTTCAGAGTGATTGGTCATCTAGTGATCTCCCCAAAGTGTTTTCCAGACACACGTCAGAATTCCCATGAAGATGCATTGCACCCAATAGGATGCAGCGAGCTCGGTCTGTCATCTGAACATGACAGCTTGCCCTCCGATGTTGAAATGGGTGTCTGATCTCCAGTGTGATAAATCGGAGGCGTGGGCATCTCGGGGGATGAACCGACACAACCACTGTGGCCTGTTTTCTTACTCTTCAGAGTGATCAGTCATCTAGTGATCTCCCCAAAGTGTTTTCCAGACACACGTCATAGGGGAAACTATGAATAATAAATGCTGTAAATGTATTGTTTATTTATAAACTAATAAAAATATGTGACTATGCAAAAAAAAAAAAAAAAAAATATATATATATATATATATATATATATATATATGTATATATATATATATATATATATATATATATATATATATATATATATATATATATATATATATATATATATATATATCTTAATGGTAATTTTACTTGAGACAAAAATATAACAGCATATGTTTCTCTGATCATTTTGGTGAAACACACCCTAGTATTACAGTTTTTAAGTTTCAAGATAAAGGCTTCTGTGGCTGACCTGATAGCTTGTTGATCTGTCAGCTCGTAGTTTTTTCAGACAGAATCCAAAGCAGGAGAAGGCAATGGAGCACAGGAGAGTAATGAAGGTGAACAGAGTAATGGGCTGCACTGGACCTGCAAAGGAGATAAACCACCAGTGTATGTTTTAATATGTGACAAAGTTGGAGTCCTGATCTTGTGGTCTTTGTCTAAAGATCTCTGAAGACCACACAAACATTGCCTTGATCTGGGTTTCATTACTAGTCTCTCAGTTTAGGTCTGCTTCTGGAAACATACATTTATTATATCCTTAGAGAAGACCACAGTCTAGACAAAAATTTCCCCCCAAAAAACTGAAATTACCTCAGGCAGCTTGAGTCAGCGAAATATCTTCATAATTGGAATAAGGAAGGATTCTGTGGCTCTAATTAGCTATCAAAGTGGCTCAGCATTTGGAACTAATGCTGCAATAAATTCCACATTTTATCACCATCACTTCATGAAAATTGACAGTTGGGTTTTTGTTTTTGAGAATTGGGATTTAGATAGCCTGGATCTGGGACTTGTGTGGTTTATTCTTGCTCTGGTGGTGGTCTTTGTCTAGTTTTAACTCCAAGTGAACATGTCTTATGAAAATGAACCATAGTTTATTAGGGTAAAAGTGTGTACTTTTGAGGACATTGCCATTTGTATAAACACAGTTTCATGCGCATTAATATACAACCTCAAATCAGAAAAAAGTTGAGACAGTATGGAAAACTCAAACATAAAAAGAAGTAGGGATTTCCAAATTTATTTGACTTGTATTTCATTACAAACAATATAAACATAAAATATTTCATGTTTTGTCTCATCAATTTTATTTCATTTGTAATTTTTTCTTGTAATAAAATACAATACAGTAAATTACACTAAACTGTAATAAATTCCAGAAAAAGTTGGGACAGTAGCAATTTAGGGAAAGTAATCAGGTATATTGTTTAAATAATGATGTTATTTGAAACAGGTGATGTCAAGAGGTGATTGTAATTATGATTTGGTACAAAAGCAGCATCCAAGAAAGGTCTAGTCCTTTAGGGGGAAAGATGGGCTGAGGATCGCCAGTTTGCCAACAAATATGTGAGAAAATTATTGAAATGTTCAAAAACAATGTTCCTTAAAAAAATCAGAAAGACATTTGTATATTTCACCTTCAACAGTGCATAGCATAATTAAACACTTAGGAGAAAGAGGGAACGGAGACGTTTATGTCGGTTGGCTAGGGGATTCGCTTAGAAGCACCAATCTCTTTAATTTGTGTAAAACAGGCCAATGGAATGACTATGCCCTAAGTCGATCACTATGAGTTTATGTTAAGTGGATCGACTAAAGGAAAATATTCTAAATGCCAAAAGAGATGAACCCATCGTGCACTTTGGGGTGCCGAGTGTTAGGCAAGTAGCATAAACACCAAAACACCACCAAAAGAGATACAGCACTTCCCTTCTGCCAACCTCCAAAACAGACAAAGAGCTGCTCAGTGGATCTTATGCTCTGAGTGCGGTCAACGTACACACGCAGTGGGTGGACAGATCACAGCAGTGAGAGGGCTGGGTCTGCCTCCTCCAGTAGCAGTGCTTGTAGGTTCACTGCCTGCACCCTGAAAGGAGTGGTAGGAACCTTGGGCACGTAGCCGGGCTGGGGTCTCAGGGTAAAATGAGAGTTAGCCAGTCTAAATTTAAGGCATGATTTGTTGACCAAAAACGCCGGACAGAGCTGTCTTAAGCAACAGGATTTTAAAAGATACTGACTCGAAAGGTTTAAATGGATGTCTCCGCAGTTTGGAAAGGACTACAGAGAGGTCCCAAGAGGGTATAAGTACACCACTCAATGAATAGACTCCACCTTAGGGTGTAGGCCTGCCTCTAGCCTGGGTAATGGTGGTAACCACAGAGGCCGGTAGGTCACCTAAGTGTTCCACCTCACATCTATGGGACACATGTGGAGGTTCCAGAGAGCAGGACGTGGATGCCAGATTGTGCCCCCTCCCTGAGAAAGAAGGTCCGTCCTCAGGGGAATCTGCCAGGTAGGGGTTGTCGCGAGGAATGTAAGCTCTGTGAACCAGGTCCTGTTGGGCCAATGAGGCACAAAAATCAAGATCTGCTTCTCGTCCTTCCTGACCTTGCACAGTGTCTGTGCAAGCAGGCTCACAGTGGGGAATGCATATTTGCGCATGTCCCAGGGCCAGCTGTGAGCCAGTGCATCCGTGCCGAGGGAGCCCTTGGTCAGGGAATAAAACCACTGGCAATGGGTGGTCTCAGCTGAAGTGAACTGGTTGACCTGGGCCTTGCTAAAACATTTCCATTTCAACTGGGCCACATCAGGAAGGAGCCTCCATTCTTCCATGAAGTTCCGGGAGTTGCTGTAAGAGTGCATCGGCTGCATGGTTAAACTCAGCCAGAATATGGATGGCATGCAGTGATTTGAATTGCATGAGGCTCCAGAGGAGCAGATGGTGTGTGAGCTGAGACATCCGGCAGAAGAGGCCACCGCCCTGGCAGTGCTATCTGTCCTGACCAGTACGTGTTTCTCAGCCAGCTCCAGACAGGTTAGCATTGACAAGTTAAGTTCTCCAGAGAGACACCCACTCCACGCACCCACCATGACCTTTGCAAAGACAGGTAGAGCCCGAGGGGGAGGACTTTATACTGCCATGCTTGACCCTTGAACACAAATCGCAGAAACAGTCAGTGACGAGGCAAAATTGAGATTTCGAAATACGTGTCTTTTAGGTTGATAGCTGTGGACCAACCCTGGAGATAGACACACACAGTGATGTGTTTCTGTGTGCGCATCCCGAATGGTATCTTGTACAGATACTGGTTCAGGACGTGCAGATCCAGGATTGACCTCGACCAACCGCTGTTCTTTGGCACACTAAAGTATGGGCTGTAGAACATGGCCTTTATGTCGACTGGTGGGACTAGCTCGATTGTGTCTTTCGCTAGTAGGACTGTAATCTATTCACTGGGGTAGCTGTGGCTCTCAACACAGAGAAATGCATGCCCCAGTACTTGGGAGGCGGTCGGGCGAAATTAATCGCATAGCCAAGTCTGATTGACCAAATAAGCCACCGTGATGGGCTGAGCATCGCTAACCACACCAGCAGAGCCCGCACGATAGGCACCATTGAAACGACCACTGACGCACCAGCGATGGGGTAGCTTGCCAGGATATGAGGGCCCACCTCATCACGTTACAAAGAAGGACAGGCAGGCCCAGAGGCCTTATTCGCCTTATTCCTTAGACAACGCAAAGAGGACAGACTCTTGCCTGTGGATGAGGCTTTCACAGGTGGGGGGTTTCACAGGTCATTGGTGGAAGGCAGTGCATCCCTGACCTGCAGCACCTACGAGTGTGCACCCAGAGAAAATGGAAAACACTCTTTTAAGAAGAATTTGGGTGCTGCCAGCTCGGAGGCCAGCAGAGAGATGTTGCTTTTGGCGGGAAGTGATGGTTCCCGGCCCTGCAATGGGAACAGAGCAGATCCTCTCACCTTGGGGTTGCATGTCTTAGGGATGTCTCACTGGCCGTTTGCCGGACTTAGCAGCACCCTGAGGCAGGGATGTTGCTATCCTGCAACAAGCTTAACACAGACACCCCGATGGAGAGGGGGCCGTTTGTAAAGTGGTGAAAGATGATGCAGGGGGATGTCCTTGGTGAGGAGAAGTTGCCGCAGCCACCGGCAGCTTATTAGTCTTGGGCCATTGATAGATGACCATCATGGCCCTGGACTGCTCCTTCACCGCCAATAATTCCTGGTTGAAGTCCCCGACGGTGTATCCAAATAGGCCAGCCTGTAAAATAAGAGCATCAAGAAAGTGACCTTTGTCCACATCTCTCATCCTTGGGGTCTTCCAAGCCTGAATAAGCTTCTCATGCACTTCTGGGAGGAAGGGGACAGGGGAGCTGAGACGGTATTACAGTGAAATCTCCAGACCAACCGCCATGGCCACCCGGAAAAGCATAGCCACCATGTCTGATTCCTGATCTGAAACCGCAGGCATCCCAGAGGGTGGAAGCGGATCGGGACTGTCATCAGTAATGGAGAGCCCACTCTCTGATGCTGCAAGGAACATCTGGTCACCTGAGTCATCAAACGATAAATCAGTGATCCTGGAGGAAGCACATGCAGTATCGTTCAAGTCCTTGATGGGGCATGCTGATGTGAAACAAGAGGACCGCAGGCATTAGCCGGCAATTGAGTTCCAGTTGAAAGCCTCAGGTCCCCCGCAATACAGGGAGGTACAGAGGTGGTTTGCACCTCGCAACAAGAGTATGATTTGTTCACGAGCATTGCATTGACATGCTAGATGCCCAGATACGCCACATAGTACTCGGGACAATTCTTTGGGAGCAGGGAACCCCAGCATCCAGAAATGCACGGGCCAGAAGACATCTTGAATTTTTAGAGGAAACCGCTCTTAAAGGACTGCTGTGTGCTTCTTAAAAGCACTTACCGGAAACCTGTGAGGCAGACAGGAATGGGACCCAGACCAGCATTGCTGAAGTGCCACACACACCACTGCTTTTTGTAGCTTTTAGAAAAGGCTTCATGCGCGAGTGAGGCTCTGTAACAAAGCCTGAGGAGCTCCTCTTGCATGTAGCCTTTTATACGCCTAATTGCGGAGTGGCTGCACCTGCGAGAGCTGCGCTTGCCAATCTCATGGGCATTCTATTGGCCTGTTTTATAAAATTAAAGTGATTAATGCTTCTAAATGAATCCCTGAGTTGATCAACTCAACATAAACTCGTAGTGATCCGGAACGGAATTTTTTAGTGCACAAAAACAAGGATGCAAGCCTAAGCTGAAATATCATAATCTCCTAGACGCCACTGCTTCAAGAATTGCCATTTATCTATAAGCAATCTCACCACATGGGCTCAGGACTATGTTGACAAACCTTTGTCAAATACCACAATATGTAGTTATATCCACAAATGGCTGTTAAAACTTTACTGCACCAAATTGAAGCCCTATGTTAACAGTGTCCAGAAGCGCTGTCGACTTCTTTGGCATCTGAGATGAGCTATTACACAGTGAAAACATGTACTGTGGTCAGATGTATCTGTATTTTAGGTATTTTTTGGGAAAA